ACATTAGATCACATGTTCTCTGTAGTTTTCCATTGTATTCTCCCTTTTTCCCCTCTTAATGCTCTGTGTAGTTTCTTTGCTCTGGCAGCCAGATTTCTCTCTGAATATCAACCACAGCCATTCCATGGTAAGACGAGATATTCAGCAAGTCATCTTGCAAATCCCTGATTAACAGAAGCAAAGCTTTCCACCTCTCCTTTTCTACCCCCACCTCTCTTCTCTTTTAACATGCTTTCATTATTTGAGTTCCATTCAATGTGATCTGTGATTTCCCTTCCCCTCCCGTTTCGCAGGCCTGGATTTTCTGGTCCCCGTCGCAGGTTACCTCTGCAGGCTGTGTCACAAATTCTACCATAGCGACTCCGCTGCCCGGCTCGCACACTGCAAGTCCCTGATGCATTTTGAGAACTTTCAGGTTAGACCCTTTGGCGATTGCATGGCCTGGCATTTGTTAACCCCGTGCGTGTCTCTCCAGTGAATCCGCCACGTTAGCTGTCTTGTCTCCAGCTCATTTCCATCATCCTTGGTGTCTATTGTGCTGTAGCTTTCTCCTGGTGTGCTCTGTGTTTGTCTCCCTTTGCCCCTGTAGATCTAAACCAGTCTAGTCCTGCTTCCCAGCTACTGCTGCTGTCATCTTTTTGCCCGTTTCTGGCTGGGAATCTTCCTCAGAGTGTCTGCTCTGTTTGCTGAACCTGTGGAGTCTGTCATTCAGTCTAGGCCTCTTCTCTGTTAGATTACAGGTGGGTCATGGTGGGAAAGAGTGAGAGGCTGTTCTTGTAAAGAAAGCTGGTGCATATGCATCTCCAGGTGTGATACTGCTGGAACAGCTCCTTTAGCCAAAACTGTGGGTGCCATTCATCCAGTAAGAGGCCTGGTAAAATCAGATACTCACCTTAGAAATCTGAAAATCTTAACAATACAGACTATGTGATAGAACCTACAAGCTGGTGAGAGTCCATTTGTCCCCAGGGTCAGCCTGCAAGAGGAAGTCTGTCTGTCTGTCTGTCTGTCTGCTACCCTTTCCTAGAAACTCCTTAGCACAAAGCTCTGCCAACTGATGCTCTTCCTTTGCTTTTCTGGCTCCACCTAAAGAAGCCGTATTGCCCCTTGCTGCTTTCGTATCTAAAGCTTTTCCTTCTGGGCTGGCCTGGAATCTGCCTCCATCGTTCTGTCCTTGTTGACTTGCCAGGGGGTGAGGGGCCTGGATTAGTGCTTGTGGAGGGTACGCAGGGCTTGCACTGTCTCTGCCCTATCCCGTGACCACTGCCTGGGCCCTCCTGTGTGGGAGAGCACTATTCTCTGACCTTGCAAAGGAGGGAGGCTCCCACTTTGTCCTCTACCTGCACCCAGAGTCTACTCACAAAAACCGCTGTGCTTCCCTATCACCTTTTTAAATAGTGTTTTAAAAAACCCCAAACCCAAACGCACATACACAGACACACACCCCTAAACCCCCCAAACTTAATGTTTTTCTTCTAGTCTTCAGACAGAATAAACTATTCCTAGCGAGGCATCACTGCCTGCAGCAAGGGATGGGGTGCTTTAGAATTCTGCCAGCACTCAGARCAGTGGATTTGGAATGGCAGGAGACCACAGCTGTTCCTTCATGGTTGCTCATTCTCTCCCACTCCTGCAGCTAGTCATTTCAGGAATGAAGGAATCGTTCTTGCTGTTTTTCTGGCATGTTTTAGATCAGCATAGAGTGAAACTGCAGCAGCAGTCACTTATGTCACTCTTTTGGCCCACTTACAGSTGAAATCAGATGCTCTTGAAATGCATGCCAGAGTGACCTGGGGAGTTCATGAGAAGAGTCCAGACTTAAATATCTGCAGGCAGATAACTATTATTCTTGGCTGCATGGGTGCCTTGGGGTTGTCACAGTGTGAGTGTAATCACTGCCAGTTGCTGGGGTATTTTCATTGGAGTAGATCAGCAGAGGGTTKCAAAGCAGAGAATTGTCTGCTGTTGAGACAGTTCATAGCATCAGTGGACACCAGTTTGCATGCCTGCACCTACTTTGTTTTGGGTATGTTATGACTCGACTGATCTACTTGCAATGTGATACATTGTTCATATCCCACTATGCGAGGACAGAGAGAGAACATGCCTGCAGTGATAAACTGAATTATAATGTGAAGCTGCCTGTCAGATGTTCTGTGATTCCACGCTGCAGACTGGTGAAAGCCATTGCACTCAAAATTGTTTCCTTAAATTGTCAGGTGTGACATTAAATGCTGGTGATCATTCCTTAAATGCTGGTGCCAGTTTAAGGAACCCTTTAGCAGGCAGCTGAAAGGGAAGGAACYGATGTGGAAAAGAGGGAACTTCAGTTTATTCCTTGAGGTCATGCTCTGTCTGGSCATTGAAGACCAGATTCCTGCTGAATGTTAGCTAGCTACAGTGAGTTGTTTTCCTGAAATCCAGTCTAGAACRTGTCATTTTAATCTCTTTACAGACCTCTACTGGTTCATCATGATAGCAAGTGCAAATGACTCATTCTATTGATATGCTTGTCTTTATTCTGTGGAAAACCTCAGTGCCTTGTAACAAGAYATAATTGATATCTTAGCCTTCCTGTTAGCAGTTCCACTGACTGTGCAGATTGTATCAACAGAGTGAAGAAATACTAAGGTTTCAACTTAAGCCTTTCTTTGGCTGATAAACATTAAATCACACTGGCAGCTGTGCAGAGCCTCATGTGCCCACGGTACGTGTCCTGGCAGTAGCTGCAGCAGGAGCTGTCACTGGCACTGTTACATCTACTGAGATTAACAGTTGCCAGATCATGATTTCTGTCTCAGGAGCCACAGGTCTGCCATGCACTCGCTCAGCATTAAGTAATGCAAGAGGGACTTCAATTTTTAATACCATCACTTTTCCTCACAGGAGCTGACCCTTCTCTGTTGAGAGCCTCAGCAGCCAGACCAGGAGCTGCYGAGTTCACTCGTGCCCCTGCCACTCACCGCTGTTTTTGTACAGGTGTTCCTGGAAGAGCTGCTGCTTTGCTGCAGTGACAGGAGCTGAGCCGGGCTTATCTCTCACGTTGATTTGTTTGTATTTGCAGAGATACAAGGCAGCRAGGCATCGTGCCACAACTGCCTACCCCGAGGCTCCTTTGCATTCCCAGGGCTCCAGCTCTCARTTGCTGGATGATCCAAAACAGCCTCTTGCTACAACAGCACATACCAGCAAGAAGACGAATGATGATCATGGGATAGACAAAGAGGGTACAGAGCTGTCAGCTCTGCAAGAACAAACTTCAAGGTCTCTGGAGGGTAAGGGTGATCTGGCCACCTCTGGGGCGGAGGGCAAGAGCCTGGCCAGTGTGACTGACGATGTGTGTGGTGTCATGGTTGTAGAAGAAGAAAGTCTACAGGAAGAGAGCACGTCCACTGCCACTAGTGCCGACTGCCTGTTCCCTGAGGAGAGCCACGCTGCAGGGGAGTGGTTGGGACATGAGGAAGCCAACACAGCCAGGCAGAGGGAAGGCACGGATGACCATCAGGATCCAGGSAGTGGAGGAGGGCTAGGACAGAATGAGGCAGCAGATGCAGGCCAGGAGGCAGCGGCAGAGCCCTCCTCCCTTGCCAAAGGTGAGACAGCTGGTTTCACCTCTGCTGGGTGCAGACGCTCTTCCAGGCGCAAACCCAGATAGAGTGGCCTTAAAGGAGAGCCCTTTACATATGATATTTGCTGGAAATGTTTATTTTCTGAGTCTTTTAATAGAGCAAAACCTTCAACTTTACTGCTGTTTTTATTTTAAGAATAAATAAGCCTGGCTTTAGCGTGTCTAATACAGGATGGTGTTGGTTATTACTTGTACAATTGGGATACAGCCATTATGTGGGAAGACTGAGGCTTGGATTGTTSAACCTGAAAGAAGATGGTAATGGGACTTCCATAGGGAACAAACTTGGTGGAGTGATGGATGCAGACTTTGTAGTTCCTTTCATTTCCTTTCCAGGCAGAGAAAAAGTTTCTCTGTGGGGAGACTGCCCAATTCTGCTTCTCAACACACTTTCCTTTCAAAGACACACACTCTTGGACAAGTCCTAAGCTAGGCAAGATCATGCACCTTGGTCCTTTGTTAATACTACAAGGCTTAATTCAATCTGTTCTCATAGTGGAAAGTCTCAGGAACAAATTTTGTTTCAAACTGATTTTAATAAAACAGATTTCTTTTAAATAACCTCTTTAACTTTCCAAAAATTACATTTAACTCTACATAAGTAGAACAGTAAGACTTGCCTCAAAAGTGCTGGCTCTAGGACATCCTGACAAGATCACAAGTTACAGACCAGACTCTCATGCCTTGTCAGAATGGGAGGGTTCTGCTCACAGCCCTGGCAGGCAGGGCCCTAACTCTGCTCTACTGTTATGCTGTGGTGGGGACTATCCAGGCTCCTCTGCTCCTTTCCACACCTCATTTCTGAACAGCAGCTCAAGGAGTGGAGTGGCTCCCATTTTTAACAGTAAGAAATGTCACCCTGGTAGCTCATCTTATCGGCTTGGATGGAAGTGTCCTGTGATCTGGAACCATGTGCCAATATTTTGTACATCACAGTTAATGTGACTGAGGGAGAAGCTGTAGTTTCAAGGTAGCAGCTGGCCTAGGCCCTCCCTYTTCCAAGGCTGGCACCAGAGCACACTTAGGGACGAGCCTGGAGTCAGGAGAGCCCCTGCCTGTTGTGCTTTCTGAGGGAACGGGCTACAGCCGTAACACTTCTTGCTTGGATTTAACAGGAAAAGAGAGCAGAGATAATTTTACCTCTTTGTGAAGAGGGCCTGCCTGCAAACTACCTGCGTGGCCTCAGGTTTCCTACAACCAGCTTCAACCATGTGTGAGTGCCAGGCTCAYGCTGGGGAGCAGAAAGAACCAGCTCTCCTACACCCACCCTTGTGCTTCTGCACCTGTCTCACAGCTAAAGGAAAAGAGAACATGGAGATGAACAGCAGGATACAAACACRGGAAGGAACAAGTAACAGACACGAGGCACCTCTGCTATTCAAGTTTTACGTTAAACTGGTGACCAATAAGTGTCCCCTTAGCAACACCAGCTGAGAGTGTGTGGTCAGACTCTAGGCAGGAGGCTGGGATCCCTGCACATCGGCTCCTGTGTTCAGCTGCTCGCTCTGCTGCTGGAACTCCAGCCGGGTCTGGCGGTTGGACTCCAGCAGTTCCTTCAAGCAGATGCGTAGGTGATCGTTCTTCTCCTCCAGGTGATCCAGGCAGGAGTTGATTTGGTCCAGCATGGAGTTTATTGCTGCATATTCTAAAAGCAAGGGAAATGAGAGACTGAACAATGGAAGTACATTGTCACTGCAGTCAGAGCTCTGGCAAAACATGCCCACAGCATTCTGGCTGTGCCTTAGTAAAATGCAACTGAATCCTGCATGTGCTGCGTTCCCTGATCAAATGAGGCCAATGGGATGCCATCTCGGGCAAGGTACCTGGGCAATCCAAGTCCATTGTGGGCACATGTGACAGCCTTGGACCTCACACACAGCCAACCACAGGCTGAGTGCTGACTGCAACACTACCAGATAAATCCTAAGGACAAGTCAGCCTTTTTAGCTGCCTTTGGGGTCATCTTTCCAGACAGTACAGGCATTTTGGCAGCATGTTGCATGCCAAAATGTTTATTTTCTGTGAATTATCCAGATAAGGCCTCCAAGCTGGGATGTACTTCACTGGGACGTGGCTGGGTCTGGCTGCCAAAACAGTGGCTGTGGGAGGAGCAGGGGACAGTAGTGGCACCGTTATTTCCAAAAGGAGGCGAGTGTTGGGCACCAAGTTTAGCCACAGGATTTTCATATTTTTTTAAGGCTTTGGGTGCTTCAGATTAAACCTAGACTCTCTGCAGATAATCATGGCAGTTGGTTATCTAGGTACAGTTTCTTGTTCACAGCATTGGTGCAAGTGCAGCAGTTTGCCCCAGTACAATGGCATTTCACAGTGGTGTTGTGTTAGCACCGTTACTCAGCTGATGAGCGCTTTGCTACTGCATGAAACACTTGCTTTTGGATTGTTCCAAGCAATATTCACACAATCCTGAAGAAAAACAAAAACCCAAACTGAAAAAACAGGCAAGATAAACTCTGCTGAGATTATTCAGGAACCTGGGGCACTGCAGGAGACCCCATACGGAGCCAGTGCAATGTTTCTTTCTGAAGCTGCACAGCTGGGTGAGTGCAGGGAGGCAGAGTGGAGCTGATGTTTGTGAGAACAGTGGGCTGCAGAACAGGAAAATATGCCCGTGTGGGTGACAAGCCCACATCTCACAGGCTGGAGTTGGCTCCTCTCCATCCAGCTCCTCTGGGCCAAGTGTGATACACACAGTGCTTGGAATGCTGGGCTGAGCTGAAGGACACAGAACAGGGAGGATGACAATGTGCTTTGGGCATCCTATGAGGGTCAGACTGTGCTGAAATCCCCCAGCCCAGCTCTGCCCCTCTCAGCTGCCCCTTTGCCAAGGTGTTCGGGTGCCCCAGCACACCAGGCCCAGGCACTGCCATTCCCAGCAGCTTTAGAAGAACTGTGAATATTTAAACATTGCAGTCATTTGCATTATTTATAGCTAAGAAGTTTCATTATGAAAAAATAATTGTCCTCCTTTTCTTATACCACTTTGGTGCTGTTCAGAGTGTTACAGCCTCTAATCCATTCCAGTGAAATGGTGAGCAGATCCCAAGCAGATACGGTAACTACTTCTGGCAAGTGACATTCATCAACTTGGCAAGTAGTCTGTCATCACAGCCGAAGCCTAATTTTCTCAGTGCCTAAAGCTCAAGTAAAGGTTATGTAATTCAYGCAGCTTTGGAAAGTGAAGAATTTTTAACCATTTAAAAATAAGTTATAAAAACCTTTTATTTGATTGCTTTCTGTTAGTTGCATGCTTAGTAGATTTTTGTGGAAACATAACCACATCCCTACTGGAAACATTGAGTAGGAATATGGCAATTGCATTAACTCCTCTACATTCTTAAAAGAACAGCTGACAAAAATCAGGTTTCCTACTTGGGATCAAAGAAGAGATCCACAGCCTCAGTTCCACTAGACCAGGAAATAGCTGCAGYCTTTTATGACCAGTTACTGCACACAAAGCCCAGCTAATTACAAACTGAACCTAATTAGTTAGGATGTAGATCCAATTAAGTGACTTTCTCCATCACATCCAATGTGTCTCTTAGCTCTTCAAAAAGTGTCAAACACAAACCACTGTGATAATGTAAAACAGTAAACGTGCTTGGGGTGTTTCAGGGCAGAATGATCCTCCTGTCACTGGAGGTGGATCCCACAGTGATGGGATGGGATGGGATCCACCATCCCATCTGACCCAAAATTCACCTGTGTGGGTCACATCTGAAAACTGAACGGTGTTTTCGGAACAGCAGAACCCAACTATACCATTTTCAACAGAACAGTAGCAAAGTGTTTACTCTGAAAGAGTTCCAGTTTTAAGAATGACCTCTAAGTTCACATTACAGCTCTGCTGTCGTCTCACTTCCTCCATGGGCTGGTTCTAACCGGACAGGGCAATATGAGAAACTTCATACCCAGGCATTGTTGAAATGCCCCAAAATGGAGTTTACCGGGCTATATGCGTGAAATTCCCTTTTTCCATGCATGACTACTTCTCCCAGATCTGCCCAAGTCATCTGCCCTGTGGTTTCGAAACCTGAACATCCTCTTTCTCCTTAGACATCTGCACCCCCTACACCAGCAAAGGCACCGAGCAATCTTTCCACAAGAAAAAATCCACCCCAGAGCAGCACGCAGGAGCTCGGTGCCCCAGATGGGCGGGCAGCAAACCCTGCAGCCCCTCAGCCCCACTGCCGTGCAGCGGGTGCATSGCTGGCGTTGGGCACCGCTCCCGGCCGAACACCGGGGCACATCGSAACACACCTGGACTGTGTCACTCRCAGCCCAGGGCGAACCCAGGCCACCCCGTCCCACCTCCGAGGTGGCAGCCCCCCTCGCCCCCACGCACCTTCCTCCTCGAAGGTGTCCCCGCCATCGTCGCCGTCGTCGCCGGTGYCGCCGCCCAGCACGTGCGGGTCTCCGTTAGGCCCCGACATCCCGCCGCGCCCGCCCGCCCCTCGGCGCCGCCCGCACGGCGCGCCCGTGCACGCGCAGGGCCGACAGCCAATGGGAGGGCAGGGCGCCGCGCGCGTCACGCCGGCCGGCGCTGCCGTGAACTCTGTGGTTAGCGCAGAGAGCGCGGAGCAGGAGCCGCGCGGGCGGGCTCGACGAGCAGCACTGGGCAGGGGGTGACCCTGGGGGGAGCGCCGCGTTCCCCGTTCGTCGGGAATTTCCCCCAAACGGGGAAAATTTGCGTGCCCAAAGCTAGGGTATGTCCATGCCCTCCCCAGATGTCCTCAGTCCCTCCCAGGTTCCTCCGCTTAGGGGCCGTCATCAGCGCTTCTTTCCCAACACAAGTAATGCTCCGTATGCATCAATCTGCATCCTGCCCTTGCGAGCCATCCCGTCCCAGAGACGGCTTTGTTGCTGCAAAAACTGCAGTCCTGTCACCAACTGCTTCGTCTGCTGAGCGGCTTGAACCAGCCTCAGGTCACCTTCCCACTCCTTTTCCATAAAGGAACAAGCACGATTCACGTTGCCCTTCCCTGTGTTTGGCCCGGTATCAGCCGCACCTCAGTCACCTTGAGGAGAYTTCATCGCTGTGTGGTGTTTTCATCCCCGGGAGAGAAGTTACTGGGATGAAAATAACCCACAATTAGAGCATTGATTCGAGCTGCACTCCTGAGATCAGGGGTGCGTTATTAAGTGGGTATTTGGGACAAAGATGAAAGAAAAGGTCATGTCCTCATTTAACATTGCAGCCACCTCTCCTTTCTGTGGGGTAACCCTACTGCACTGCAGAGTCAGACTCGTGTTACACCCCAAGTAGGGAAACTGAATATAAATTGTAAAAAATATAAATTAAAATGTAATTAATGGATGTAATCGCATGTTAATAAAATAAATTATGACTTTCAGTGTGGAGATGTGCCCTTGCACAGTGGGTACATGCTGATCAGAATCCATAGCCCCACTGGACAGAGACCCACAGAATCCCACAATGGATCAGGTTGGAAGGCACCACAGTGGGTCATCAGGTAGGTCCCACCTCTCTGCTCAAGCTAGGTTGTCCCAGAGCACAGGATTACACTCAGATGGTCCTGGAATATCTCCAGTGAGGGACACTCCACACTGTCCGTGGACCATCTGTTCAGTGCTCTGTCAYTGCACAGGAAAGTAGTTCTTTTTCATGTTCGGGTAGAACTTTYTGCACATCAGTTCCTGCCCATTCCTCTTGTTCTGTTACTCAGAACCAAAGCCAGATCCATTCTCTGTCCCCTCTCTGCAGACACCGACAGACATCGATGAAGTACCCTCTCAGCTGCCTTTTCTCTGGGCTGAAGAGGCCCAGCACCCTCACCCGTTCAACTGATTATTTTATTCCCACTTTAGGCTTTAATGTGTTCTCAGATTTGACAATCACAGGGCAGCGGGTTCACCCTTTATTGGATGTCCCCATGTGTGGTGTCCCGTGTGCGGTGCTCCCCGTGGGGTGTCCCCTCAGCRGAGCGCGATCCCGCCGTACCCGCAGCGGGGCCGGGGCCGTGCCGGGGCGGTGCCGCCGTGCCCGGGGCGGAGCGGCCGCTCTCCGCCCGCCCTCAGCCGAAGATGGCGGGTGCCGGCCGGGCCTGGCGGGCCGGAACGCTGCTATTGCCGCCAGCCTGGCGGCTGCGGGCYCCGGGACGAGCTTTCGGCGCCGCGGCGGGACCGGGAGGCAGCGGAGGCGGTGGCCGCCTGGTGCTGGGCGCTGCCTTCGCGCTGGGCGGCGGCGCCGGGCTGTGCCTGGCTGCGCGGCAGCGCCTGCGGGAGCACTCGGCCGCTGAGGTAACACCGGGGGCGGCTCCCCCTGATCCCCGCCGTGCCCTCCCCGAGCCCCCGGGGACAGCGGTTCCCTGCGGACCGAGCGGCTTCTTCTGCCCCGGTTTGAGTGAGGGAAGAGCTTTAAATTGTTTGGGAGGCCTCTGGCAGAGCATTCCTTGAGGAGCCGTAAGGAAAGGCTGTCAGTGAGGGCTTGCTGGGGGTGTGGAGCGCTTTCTGTTGTTGCTCTTTCGCAGCACCCGCGCAGGGTTGTGTAACACAGTRAATTGTAAATGAGAAACAAAGTAGGGTGGCTGCATTTGTTGTATAATGTGTGAGGAATGATTGGCACGGCCTGTCAGGCTACTGAGGAKTTGCAGCTTTGCAAAACATCCCTTAACTGATGTGCCGCTGTCCCTGCCGTCTCTGAGCTCTCCCTTTTTTGTACCAGTTGTGCCCAGGTTGGGCAATCCCAACCAGGCTGGTTAATCCCAGGAATGCGAAGTTGGGCAGACACRTGCCTAAAAACAAAAGCAAAATCTGCTCTTCCCACGGAGGGTGTTGTGGGGGGAGGGATTGGCTTGTAAAGGCTTTATTTGTGTTTGTTTACATACTATTGCAAATGATTGTATTTTTCTATAGAATTCTGTTTCACAGAATAGAAACTAGAGGGGTAAGCTCTCTGGATTTAACTTTTTTTCCTGGCTATGAATAGGAATTTCTAACACATTAAGTAGATGTTTAGAGAAACAGGTAATTGGTCCCAATGGATGGTGAATATTTAAATATTTGATGCCATTTCATCTGATAGCYAAGATATGCCCATGATCAGATGCTGAAACCAAATGTCAGTGACTATGACTTCATGACAAAAATAAAGGTGGAAGGAAGGTAATGTTTATGTTTTTAGTAGAAAATTAAACCTTCTGGTTTCTTCCTTCCACAGCTGCCTGCAGGGAACCTGCAGCTCACTCTCTACCAGTATAAAACGTGTCCTTTCTGCAGCAAAGTCCGAGCTTTTCTTGATTATCATGGACTGCCATATGAAATTGTGGAAGTGAACCCAATCATGAGAAAAGAGATCAAATTCTCTTCCTACAGAAAGGTGCCCATCCTGCTAGCCAATGCTGGGAGCCCTCTGGTAAGTCTTTCTAACTTGGAGCCTGAGCATGCARGTGAAAAGCTTTTGAAGAATTTCTTTTAAATTTCACCAGTTTCTTTTAAAAGCTTGTTTTAATCCTGTTTTTCAGCAATTGAACGACTCCTCAGTGATAATCAGTGCGATAAAGACCTATCTTATTTCCAGGTAAGAAAAGAGGGTAATGGGAGAAGAGTTGAATGTGGAGGGCCCAGTAGAGATTTAGAAGATTCTGAGTTGGCCCTAAGTCTCTCTCTGACTTCAGTCTCTGGGTGACCTGAGCCTGCCTATGGTAACGTGGGTGGTGCCTATATATGCTGTGATGTGTGTGATGTAAAGCCAAGCTTTTACCTTGCAAAAGTGCTTTTTCATCTGTGAGATTCTGTTTGCACAAWACCTACTTAAACATGGACTAGTGTTTGTCCTGGAACTGAGCTTACAATTAGCCAGTTATAACATGTAGAATGAGATTTGTTGAGCCACAGGAACTGTGGCCTGACCTTTAGGTCTGCTTGAGAATGGTAGGAAGTTTTATGGCTGCAGAAATTTCTGTTCTGCCACAGACAAAGGTATGTGCACTTTTAATAGTTACTTGCAAGTAGCTGTTTCAATCTCTTTTGGKTTTTTTTTTTTTCAAGMAGAATCTGGAACATTGTGCCCTTACTTTTAGAATAATACATTTTATAGCATGTATCTTTCAATCTGTCCTTTGCTCTTGTTTCTTTTTTGTAGCAGCCAGGTCAGTGTTGTGTTTCTTTTCACAGGAGGAATAGCTTGGAAGAAATCGTGTCCTTTTATCCACCTGTTAAAACCATGACTGAGCAAGGCAAAGAGGTGTTTGAGTATGAGAATAAATACTGGCTCATGCTGGATGAGAAGGAGACAAAGAGAGTCTATCCTGTTAAAGAAGTGAGAGTGTAAGTGCTCTTCAGTTTCTGGGCTCTCCAAGTAGGGTCACAGCCCTCTCCATATGTACTCAGGGTTGATGTAGACGTAAAATCCCACTAGGGCTGACAATTCCTGTCACACCCCCATTAGTGTTTCAAGCATCAGTAGTTAGTTTGCTGTGTTAGATAATTCAAAACAAAACTGGTAGATGACGTAGTTACCATCACTATGGTCACACCAGCCTTCAGCTGTCTCCATTTTCCTTCTTGATCTTTCCTTTATGCCACAGGGGAATGCTGTTGAGGGATATTTTCCCTTGTGGTTTTATTTCTCATATTAGGAGGAGGAGCTTGTGCTCTATCTTAGTCTTAAATTCAGTTTGAGATTGGAGGAGCCTTGCYAAAGATAAGGATGCTAAGTGTGTTTAGAGAAGTCACCACAGCACCAGGCTGGGCAAGAGTTTTTGATTTGTTTGTCCTTGGCACGATCTCTGGCTAAGGCCACTGTGATTCTGCTTCCTGTCGCCCTGCAATTTCTACCTCACTCACTGAAAACTTCCTTTTGTCTGCTTGCAGGGAAGAAATGAAGTGGAGAAAATGGGCAGATGATTGGCTTGTTCACCTTATTTCCCCCAATGTTTACCGCACCCCCAAAGAAGCCTTGGCATCTTTCGATTACATTGTCCGTGAGGGGAAGTTTGGCATCTTGGAAGGTCTCTTTGCCAAGTACGTGGGGGCTGTTGCCATGTTCTTCGTTAGCAAGAGGCTGAAGAAAAGGTTGGTATCACTAAGCATCAAGTACACAAGAGGAGAAATAGCTCCTTAGCCTCATTAGCTGTGTACCCCAGGTGTCAAAGGGCAGATCCTCAGGGTTTTAAATTGAACCATTAAGAGTAACAACCGTACTTCTTTAACTGGAGGTACTGAACCCCTCTATTTACCCACTATTTAATTACCCACTGCCCCTTTCACTCTAAAATACTGCCCTTACTCACAAGACAAAACCACCCCAGAAGGTGAGACATTAAAGAAAGAAATGAACTTGTGTCTTCAAACTGATTGCTGTCTTTATCCAGACACCGGCTTCGAGATGATGTCCGAGAAGACTTGTACGAAGCAGTTAACGAGTGGGTAAAAGCTGTTGGCAAAAATCGACTGTTCATGGGTGGGAACCAGCCAAACCTCGCTGACCTGGTAAGGGYTTCATCCCTGCAGTTATTGTCAGGTGGATCACAAATTATCCTTCTTAATACAAATGCAGACAAAGAGGTTGAGCTACATGAGGTACATTGCCCTTTGTGCAGTAATACCATTCCCATATGGTGGGGACTTCCTCATAACTGCACATAGATACCGATCCTTCCTTACTGATTCCTCATGGAAAAACATGCATATTCTTAATTACCTTTCTGTCATACACTCCAGAATGGTGGAGTAGATGGCAGGACAGGGGAAGTGCCATTCTGGCTTGGCAATTAGACACTTGTACCCTAAGCTATTTTCCACTCTTTACGTGTTGTTTCTGATCTCTCTGCTCTACACAGGCAGTGTATGGGGTGCTCCGGGTCATGGAAGGGCTGGAAGCCTTTGATGACATGATGGTTCACACCAACGTTCAGCCTTGGTACCAGCGCATGGAACAAGTCATTGAAAAAACTGGAGTTGCAATCTGATGCCAGCTGCAGCTGCCTCCCTGAAGTACTTGCATGGTGAAAACTTCAGAAGAAATGGCTTTTATTTTTAGAGTTGACTGGTCGCACCTAACAGACTGACATTGTGGGCACAGAGACCRCCCTGTTTAGAACATCAAATCGCAGTGAGAGAAGGGTCCAGCTGTTTAGAAGGATGGGGACAGGTCAAAGAAAGGGATCTCTAGATGCTGCTGGAAAGGAGTCACTCTGAACTGAAGAAAGCAGCAAATAGCATTCTTTCAGACAAGAGCCATCGTCAGAGCAGGTTACTGTAAAAGCAAGATGCTCTTGGCTGGTGTTATGGCTATGTCAGATGTGGTAGGCCTGATCAGCTTTTGCCTCAGGCTGTCTTCTGCTACTCATCCATGTCACCTGAAGTGTTTTTCTGACTGAGACACTGGATATTGGTTTTTAAGTGACAATATTTCCTGCAATAGAATCCTGTAAGSCCCGTGCTGAGGGAACTGGAAAAATCCCCAGTGCTGGAGCAGGCACCTTTCCTCTGACAAAAGTGAGGCTATGCTCAGCAGGGTTTGTGATTTCACTCTTCATGTAAACGGTTCTCTCAGGACTTGATTCTGTACTGTCTGCAAGGATAAAGGCTGGCTTTATTCTATCCCCTTTGTGAGATCTGAGTTCTTACCTTACCCTTTACACCTGAAGAACACACCCTACACTGAAACCACTAAGGCAGARCAGTTATTSGAAAGGCTTGTCTTGCRTGAGATTTCTCTGGAATATTCCWGAAGATCAGTTTGTTCTTGCTTTAGGTAAAGAAGGATTAAGAGCCATCTGCATKGCCAGGGGATCTCTAGATGTTTCTGTCATGCAAGAGTAACAAAGGATTTGCTGATGTGGCAATCAGATTAGGAGCTGTACCTGCAGCTAATGTGCAATGTGAAGTCTTCTGTGCTGTGCTRGGTAGAATCATAGAATGGTTTGGGCTGGAAGGGACCTTTAAAACCATCTTGTTCCAMCCCCCTGCCATGGGTAGGGACACCTTCTACTAGACCAGGTTGCTCCAAGCCCCATCCAGCCTGACCTTGAATACTTCRAGGGAYGGGGCAGCCACAGCTTCTCTGGGCAACCTGTGCCAGGGCATCATCACCCTCWTAGGGAAGAATTTCTTTGTAACATCCCATGTAACCCTGCCCTCTGTCAGTGGGAAGTCACTGCCCCATGTCAAAGTCCCTCTCCAGCTCCAGAAACAAAGTCATGGTAAGACATGGTGCAGGTCTGAATGTGAGTGATCCTCTGCACAGCCCAAGGCTTCAGTATCCTTAATAACCACCTYGATCAAGTTCTGTTTCCCCAGAAGAACAGGCAGGTTTCAGGGAATCTGATTTGTTGTGATATTTCAGATGCAGCTGAAGTTGGTCTGTAATGTAGCTGCCAGCCCAGTGTATATTCAGGGGAAGTACTTTATTGGTCATAACAGTGATGGTGATAGAGATTTGGAGTTTTTTCTGAATGTAGGCCTAGTTCCATACTAAGTTATGATATGACATGGATGGGAGAAGGAAAATGTTTACAGTAAAAATGGCTGTGTGGCTGCTCTGTRACTTGTATTTCTTTAAACCATTCTGTACTGAAACTTGTGTTCCACGGTGTCCACAGGCAATGTTTTAAAGAATTATATTGAACATGCATAAACAGAGGTTGAAGAATAATTTAGACATCCACGTCAACCCAAGAGGGAGGAAGAGTTTCATGTTAAATGAGGATCTGAAGCRCCAAGGGCTCAGTGGCTCCACTTCATGCTGTGCTGTGCTATATCAAAGAATTCTCTCAAGATGAATATCCCTAACACTAACATGCCGATAACATTACATTAAATAAAGGTTGTTTCAGGATTTTGTATCACCTTTCATAGAATGKTAAGGGATTGGAATGGACCATAAAGATCATCTRCTCTCCCCTCTCTGCCATGGGCAGGGCCACCTCACATTAGACCAGGTATTCCAAGGCATTATCGAACCTGGCTTTGAGTGCTGTGAGGGTTGGGGCATCCACAATCACTGGGCAACCTGTTCCAGTGTCTCACCACCTTCACAGGGAAAACTTTCTCCCTAATACCTAACCTAAATTTCCCCTCTTTCAATTTGTACCTCATCCTATCTCTACAGTTTATGATGAAGAGTCCCTCTCTGGCTTTCCTGTAGCCCCTTCAGATACTGGAAGGTGCTCTAAGGTCTCCACATGACCATTCTCTTCTCCAGGCTGAACAGCCCCAGACGTCTCATAGGGGTGGTTCTCCAATCCCCTTAGCAACTTAGTGATCTCCAACATTTCCATATCCTTCTTATGTTGGGGACAGCCAGAACTGTCCCCACAATTCTGGTTACAGTTTACCGTAAAAAAGCTGTGTACGCAATTCTGGTGTCACGTTTAAGACGGGAAAACTCATCTCAAAGGCAACGCAAAAAAAAAAAAAAAAAAAAAAAAAAAAAAAAAAAAAAAAAAAAAAAAAAAAAAAAAAAAAAAATTCTGTAGGCAAAGAAAATAGACTAAATAATCGTTATTTCAGACGATTTTCAGACATCCCTATTTCTGTACGGATGAGCAGCCAACTCCTAAAAGCTCCGCGCTGGAGCCGGCGCGGCCGAGGGTTCCGGGAACCGCTGAGGCGGCCGCTGGGCCGCTCGCGCCGGCCGCATGAAGCCGCGGGGCGGTTACCGGGGGCGGTTACCGCCGCTCTGGCTCGTTCGAATCGCCCAATGGTGGAGCCGCGGGCGGCGCGGCGGAGGAGACGGCCAGGACCCTGCGGCCGTACCTCCTGCCCCTGGTGCGCGTATCCGCCCCACAGCTCTGCCCACGGTCGCCCCTGCGCCTCCCGCCGCGCCGATGGAGAACTGAGGTGGCTGCGGACACCGCGCGGGGCGACCTGGTGAGAGAGCCGGGCCCGGGAGGGCGGGGCGGGGGCTGGCCTCGCCCTGTGGGGTGTCCCCTCACCGTCTGGGTGTCCGAGCCCCGAGAATCATTCTTTCCTTCCTGCTTTTCGGGGCTCTTGCTGCCGGGAGGCCGGCAGGAGCCGTGGGGCTCGGGATAACGGCGCGGTGCAGGCGAGCGTTGGAAGCCGCCCGGCCCCGCTGGGGGAAGGCCTGCCTTGCCCTCAGAGCTGCGATTAGCATATCGGCCCCCAAAAGGCGTCTCTGCCAGCCTGAGGTGACCACAGATTCGATGGAAAACCTCCAGAGATTGCGGGAGGAACTAAAACTTACGAGTGAGCCTTGTTGCTAAGGGAGGCGCGGTGACTGCGTTTGAGTTTCACTCGTGGTGATTCAAAAGCTCTCTCAGTGCTGGGCCCGGGAAGAGTTTAGCCCTTTGTTGGAAAAAAAGATGATTAAATCACCCAGTAGTGTTTGGAGTTGTTCAGAKGTGGAAGCTGCGGAATCCTGTTCCTTGAGAAAGCTGTGTCCTCCTCTTCCTGAATTAAAGGAAGTACCACTGTATCCCGTAAAAATTGCAGTTAGAATTTAAAAGTTTATAATTGAATAGTGTCATCATATAATTGTACAAAACATTTCCACTGCTTAAAACAATTTCTGTGATCTGTTAGGATTACTGTCTCTGTCCTTCCCTCATCCATGCTTGACAGAGGATGCCAAGGCACACCAGCTTTTGCTGTTTGAGTTCATGCACTTGATCTGTTTGAGCCTGTGTATTCCCTTAAATCAAAAGGAAGARGATGTTCAGAAGTTGACACCTTCTCCTCTTAATAATTTTATTATTTCTTTATCAGGTGCGTGTCATCTCTTAATGACGATTCTACCACTTCACCCAAAGCAGTGAAAACTCCCAGAAAACCCAAAAGCTTGAAAGTACCTGTAAGTAACTTCACCTAGGCTRACAGTATCCTTTCTGCCAGAATCAGATYAGTGCTGCTGATGGCTTTGTGTAAGATTTSCAATTGCATTATGCCATTACATCAACTGAAGCATCCAGCTCCAAGATGATCACTTGRACCTTGTGTCTCTAGGCTTTTCTGTATTGTGTCAGGTTACGGTCATGTGTTTTTGTGGAGATTAAAGCAATGCTGTGATGCAAAGGCTTTTAAGGATTTTTGCTTAAAAAAGACACTTAAGCACATATGAAGGAGCATGCAGGTTCAGGGTTCTAGGATAGAGCGGTCTGATGATTTCCTAATGGTTTTTCTTAATTGTTAAATTAATTCTCCTCTTCTGTTCAAATTTCTCTTTGTAATCAGATTTGTTGGTTGTGGGAACCCTTGATTTGTTCACTTGCTCTAAGACTTTGAACTTTAATGACTCTTACAGACACCTGCTATCAATCCAGCTGTCTTTGATCTTCAATAATCAGATTAAAAGCAGAAAATACTAGAAGCAGAGGAATTGTTTGTGTTATTTTTGGCTTTACAGAAGAATAGTRTGCTGTTCAAAATGGCAGATGCTACTGATAGAGAGCTCAAATGTTAACCAAGGCTGGCCACTGTTCCTCTCTGACACAGGGAAATGTTGTTATTTCCAGTTTCCTTATTCACAGGTTTCCCTTCATTGTATTTCCCTTTCCCGCTTGTGGGAGAAGAGCCATGAAGAACCGTTCCTCATCTCCCCCTTTACACGTCCATGTGGATGAAAAYACCCCTGTCCATGTCCATATTAAAAAGGGGCAGAAAACCACACCTACAAAATCCCAGGTAGGAGTGTGTACCTGGTTGTTTGTAATGGCTWCAAAGAGGAAGGTGAATGGCCCTAGAAGCATCACAAAATCTTCCAGGTCTGTTTTATTGTTGTATTTGAACTCTGAGACTTGATTTMATGTTCAATGGTGAATCTGTGGTGACACATTTGCTATGTTRATTTGTTGAAAGATGATTTTGGTATGATATAGAGTTGCTTTTCATGTTCATCATGTGAGGAGTGTTGTTTCCAATGTAATACAGTTTGGAGGATTTTTTTGCTTTTTGTGTCCTGGATCTGTGTCCTGATGTTGTTTTCTATTTGGCTTCATATCTATTTTTGGAGGAAAGGTTTGAGGAGTGGTAGGCATTTGAAGTAGCATCTTGATTGTATTAAAATAAATATGCTTAGAAGAAGAATCTTGATTCAAACCAACCTCTGGAATTAAGGACATTCTCTATCCACTGAGCTCTGCAGCAAAGAAGATCTGTTCCCAACCTTACCCACAGGAGGCACAAGGCAATACTGAAGCTGAGATTCTCGCTATCCTGTATCCTCTTTTRTTGCTGGATATTTATGGAAAATCATTCTAAAGAGATGATGGAAGTTGCTATCTCATTCTTCCTTATCTGCAGACATCCTGCTCTAAGTCTTCTATGGATTTTGTGTTGGTTGCTAATGGCAAATTTCATAATGGGATKAAATGACAGTGAAATCAATGACTCCTGTTAATTAATTGCCAGTAGGGAATGTTTGCAGCATCTGATTTTTCTCTAAGGTTAGAATTGTGCAAAACCACTTTAACTCTTCTTCAGTTGCAGCAGCTCAAGTTCAATACAAATAAATGTGACTCTTTTAGTTGACTGCAGAGTAGGGAAAAAACTTCAGGGGCTTTCCATAATTAATCACAATCCATAATCAAATCCATAATCAAATGGTATAGCTGCTCTTTTGTGAGGTGAATCTGGGATGGAGAAAAGATCTCCCAGGGATCTGTCATGTCCTACATCCAACCATCCTGTCAGCTGAGTGCGCATTAACCATTCCTTCTGGCTGGTGTCAGCTACCTCATCTCACCTGATGCATCCTGTGAAACACTATKGATAGCTCTGTATGAATGATCTTTCATTTGATTTTGCAACACTAAATGGTTCTTTAAGAGTCTGTAATTTGTTTTATTTTCTCTTCCTTTAGCAAAAGCAGAAACAGAAATCAAAAGGGGATGGTGTGCGAGCTGTGCGGGTGAAAACTAAGGCCCCTTGGATTCCCCCAGGCAAAACACGTACCCGTGATACCACCTTGAAATGGGAGGTACAGCTGGTTTTGCTCTTTCAAACAAACTTTGAGGTTTGACCAAGATTGAAGGAGAGCAATTGTACAGTGAGAGACCTGGGCAGATCTGAAAGAAGGCTGCTATTACCCGCCATCTGTCTGGAGTGTCTTCTATAAATCTTTTTCACCTTTTGATATAGAAAAGATGGGAATTCATAAGCATCCTGTGGCCATGCCTTTCTGTCTCTAGAAGCCAGACACGTTTCTTTGTTTTTGCAATTTCTTTGCAATTTTACTAGTGCCCTTCAAGATCTCATCTGGAGGCTCAGCGAGGGATAGCTGATCTCAATCTCTTGTGAAGCATGGAGCATTTGTGCCGTTGTGTCATATTTTCTTTCTCATGGGATGATAGTTTTGTTTGTTGTATTCCTGGCACTTCCTAGATGAGGATTTCAGGTTTGATTAGCTTTTCTTCTTTTTCTGTTTCTGCATTCTTGACCTTTCCCAGACTGAAACGGAAGAACGGTTTGTAAATGCTTTTTTCTTTGCTAGCCTTGCTGCAGTGGTGTGACCAAGTCTCTGTTTTTGGCAATGTTACCTTTAGAATACTATTTATAATGTTATACTAAAAAAATTATACCCTTTATTCTCTGTCAGGAATCAACTGAACCAGTGGAGGTTCCACCTAATCCTGAGAGTGAAAGGATGCAGTCAGTGCTGCGCCTCAGTGACCTGTCCACAGACGACGACGACGCTGCCGCTTGCTGCAAGATCAACCAATACGAAAAAAAAATAGATAGCCTCATGAATATGGTAGGAACCCTGAAGAAAGAGGTGAGGAGACAGTGGAAAATCCTGCTGACTGGGGCTTTGTAGCTGATCCTTTGACAAGAGGAGGCTGGAGTCAGGTTTTGGTGAGATGGAAGGCTACCCAGGCTGTTGGTAACTTGCTTGAAATATCAAAAATCAGAATGAATTGTTTAGAATAGCTGAACTATCCAAATGAGAAATTCACTAAGCCACACTGTGAAACATTTCAAAACATGATTACATTAATAAGGTATTGCTGTGCTTCAGTTTCCAAATAATCTCTCTTCTACCCAATCTCAAAAGCTGAAAACACTTCCAGAAAGTGAAAAATACAATGCATTGATGTTTTATTGTCAAAAAATCCCCTTATTTAATGAAGTTGTTTGTTCTGATTCCGTTTCAAAATGCGCAACCCAGGGATGTTGTGTTTTCCAGATGAATAKGCTCTTATGTACTTGACACCACTTTAAAAATACAGTGGAGATGTTTCCAGGTCTTATAAGATGTGTCATGGTGAGGGCACACTGCATTTTTAACTTCGAGTTAACACTGAGAATAGCACATCTTGTATTATTGTTTTAGTCTAAACTACATGGATGTCAGATCAGTGGTCAAGAATAGGATTTGAGTCAATTAGATTCTTACATTAATTATTTTCCATTTTACTTATGCTACAAAATTTAATGGAATTACTTGCATGATTGTGAAACAAAAGATCAATATTAGAATCATAGAATCATTAAGGTTGGAAAAKACCTTCAAGATCATCTTTGTCCAGCCTTTGATCTGACAGCACCTTGTTAAATAAACCAGAGCACTGAGTGCCATGTCTAGTTGTTCCTTGAACAYYTCCAGGTATGGTGACTGCACCATCTACTTGCACATCCCATTCCAATACCTGACAACTCTTTCCATGAAGGAATTCATCCTGATGTCCTACCTGAACATCCCCTGACACAGCTTGAGGCCATTTCCTCATGTCTTGTCAGTTGTCATCTGGGAGAAGACGCTTTTTATTTTTTGATACCTTCAATAAATTAATTGACTTTAAATGGTTCACTGATTTGGGATGTGAATTCTGTGTATCACTTCCAAAGCCCCTGGTTAAAGWTTTTTTCCAATCTTTTCAGGTCAAGATGCAGCAAATAGAGGAACAGGAACACATGACAAAATGTCTTCTGGAGCAGCAGAAGGAAGAGCTGAATGAGGTCACACAAGAGCTGGTAGAAACTGAACATGAGAACACACGGCTCCGGCGCAACATCGAGCGCATAAAGGAGGAGAAGGACCTTACTGTGTAAGAAAGCTCCACTTCTCACAGTTCCTGCACTAGTGGGATCCACAGGCACCTCGCTCCTTTATTGCTGACATGATCAGAGGTCATAGCTGCTGTTGAAGAACTGATACACTTGGATTTTTGTCATCTTTTAGAAGGGGAAATCCTGATTGCAATCGCTGTAGAGAAGGGCTCTAACATGATTTTTAGAATGAAAAAAACTGCTCTGAGAGGAACATGAGAGCAGTTGACTTGTGTGGAGCGTCATCCTAACTCTGGAATTAGTATTTTGAAGGTTAASGGATTCTGCTTGAATTGTGATGATATTGCTAGAACAATAAATTAATAAACATGGAGCTGAAAATTAGAAGAGAATATCTGACCTTTCTAAAAACCATACAGAGACAGGAGTGACAGCCCCTGAGAGGACTGAACCATTACGCTTTTTTCTGAGTAACTCAGGTCTTCACGTCTGACATTTTTCCATCTGCTTTGTATCTAAAGARTTAGTGACATTTGTGTCTGCAGGGRGWCACTAGTGTTTTAAGAGAATTAGTTTTATTTTTTACTTRAGAAAGATCACTTGGAAATTAATACTGTGTATTCCTTTTTCAGAAAACTCTGTGAATGCTTCTGACATTACAAGCCTTGGCTAAAAACGCTGAGCTGCATATCTTGGTSTGCTTTTCTGTTTTATATTTGGCCATTTGGATTCTTATTTCTGGTGTGGCTTAAGTACCCAGGAAAAGCRCAGCATTGTGTTTTGGGTTTAGCATTGTGTGCAGGCTTTGGTGTAAGCTTGATTTGACCTCTCTGTGATCCTAGCAAGCTCCTGGTGTCTACTTAACTGTCTTCATTCAAAACAGCTTCCACATTGAAAGAGGGTGAATCTTAAGTAGTTTTTGTTTAGGACTTTTAGCCTCTGTTTTAGGAGGTTTAATGAGTTTTAACCCTATCAACTGTATATCAGTAGTGGCTGGTACAGCTGCCAAAGCTTCTTGTTTCTCTGATGGTTGAATTCTTCTTGCAGGCTACAAAAGGAGTGCTTGCAGCAGGAGAAAGAGTGTTTRATGTCCAAGCTGAATGAAGCAGAAAGGGATGGAGCAGCCGCTGCCAGACAGATCCATGCCTTGAAAAATACCATTGGGAGACTCAACATTGTACGTGTTGTCCCTTTTTTGTTCTTGCCTTTACTACATTGTCCTATTATTTGTCTGTCTTAAAAAGTAATGTTACAATCTCTAACCTAGTTAAATGTAAGGAAAGTGGGGGGATTTAACATCGTTGAAGTGTTTGCTAGTTTGGTTTGAAAATGGGATATTTACTTCTAGTTACCTTCTGCACACAAGTGAACAATTATTTCCTTTTGATTATGTTTTGTGGATTTTGTTTGAAGTGTTTCATTCTTCTGGTTTCTTCCAYTGTTTCTTTATTTGATTTTTGTTTATTTAATGCTTTTCCTTTAGGAGAAACATATGAGCAGCACAGATATAAATGCTCTAACAAGACAAAAAGAGCTTCTGCTTCAGAAATTGAGCACCTTTGAAGAAACCAACAGGACACTCCGAGAACTTATAGCAGAGCAGCGGTGCCGGGAGGTGAGAACTGCTGTGTGTGGAACCTGGCTGATTACAGGAGGCTGTGTTTTCTCGTGGGCTGGAAGGGAATTTTGAGTTTGAAATCCTTCAACTCTTTTTCCCAGGCCTGCAGTAGACCCTTTTAACTCATAAATGTTGGATAAACTAAATCATAGAGTAAGACTGACTTTTCTGCTGTGAGGATGGTAGAGCTTCTGAGTGTTTGATTGTATTAAAAGGTTCAGGCACTGCTGTGTTGCCAKCTGTCTCCTCTGGCTGGATCTGCTCATCCTGCTCCTCTCAATTGCTGCTGCTGCACTTGGATTGCCTGGAGTCTGAGGACTTGAKATGACCTCAGCTAATGGGAGTCTATGACTATTCAGAACTTTGACTTTATAGGCTCTGAGGGCAACAACAGAGAAATTGGAAAAAATTYTTTGCTGCTTGTACGGAACAATTCTCTATTGCTTGTAAGAGCAATGGAGAAATGAAATTCCTATTCTTTCTGCAGTTTATATTCCATTTTAGCAAAAGCAGGTTGATGATAACAGTTATCTCAGCCACCAATGAGGCTGGATAAAAGGTCTGAATTCTTCCACATGACTTTCCCTGAGTAGTGGGGGAKTTCAGAATGATCTTACATTGCCATCATGCTTTTTATTTTAGTCTTTGACTGAGAAGTGGAAAAGCTTTCTGAGATGGATAATGAAATGTGAAATATATAGCAAATGTGATGCTTCTGGATATCTTCTAAGAATTGCTGCTGCATCTGGGAGGAAATGTYTGATTTGCCTGGTTCCATTTAAAGAATCTATATAAGATTGATTTTTAGTTAACAATTTTTCTCATGTATTTATTTATTTTGTAGAGAGATGCCCAGAAAGTACTGGACCGGCAAGCAGTGCTGCTGAAAAAGCTGGCTGACTCAGATGCAGAGAACATGGTAAGCAAACCACAATCTTTCTTCTTAATGATAAAGCAGAGAGATCTAAAATGACAAGCCCTTCTTTGTCTTGTATTCAGCTGCCAAATGTTACACTAGTGCCTTTTAGATCTATAAAAAAATATTTTAGCTTTTATGGTAATCAGAGCCTCTACATTGCACCTCTGATTAACAACCTGCATTTCAAATGGGTATATTTTCATTGCCTTTGRCACATAGGAGCTTAGAATGGGGATAACTCTGTATATTGGGCCCTGTCACTGAATGAGTAGCCCTGTGCCAGTTTTTGTTCATTTCCATATCTGTAAACTGAGACAAGAGTTCTTGCATTACCAGAAGTTATTAAACTTGCTGTGGGACATAGGTAAATTCCCTTTTTAGTTTGTGGAGTATTTATGGTCCTGACTGGGTATCCTGTGCCGTGTTACACAAATTATGTGTATCCTTTTTGCTTCCTGCTGAGGAGAATGCAGCCTATTTTGCTGGGGATGAGGRTGCTGTTGTTGTGGACAGCAGTCAGTGCCATGGATCAGGTGGTCTCSAGAGGGAAGCAGTTACACCTCTTGCCTTCTACCTGCTGTCCTAAATGCATTTATTACTGAACATCTGTGCGATGTTTGTTTTTCCAGCAACTTCAAATCAGGCTTCAGGGAAAAGAAAAGGAAGTGGATACTCTAGCCCTTCAGATAGTGGCAGAAAAGGTAATTTCCTTTATCTATTTTTCCCTCTCTTTTCTACCTACCAGTTTGGTAAAACCACAGACAGTCCAAAAGATGAGGTAGTTTTCAGACCATTGCTTTGAGATTAGATGACTGGCTTGCTTATAAAACTAGACAGGTACCAACTCCCACACAGTTGTGGGTTCCACATTCTGCTGATAAGACACCTGTCACAAGGATGGATAGATAGAATTCTCTTTGCTTGGGCACTGAGTTGCCATTGTGTTTAAGGTCCTGTTGGTTCCCAATGGCAAATTCCAATCTGTTCCTTTRTTTAGGAAGTAAAAGGGGAATGCAGTGGAAGAGATCAGATATGAAGGAGGTTTTTCTTGTTCTCGGTTATCTAGGAGCAGGCAAAGAAAGCAATTGAACTCTCCAGATCTCTGGAGTCTGCAAAAGCCCATTTACAATCCCAGCTGCGGACCAAAGAAGCTGAGAACAATCGTCTGGTCACACAGCTGCGGGTATGTCTACCCTGCTCCCTGGGGATTGTCTGTTCCTTTGCTTCCATGGACTGAATTCASTCACAAAGGGGAGTAGCACCAGCTTCTTACTGAGCCTGGTTGAGTGAAATACTGGCTGGTGGTGTTTATGCCAGTAATTCACAGCATGATTTTCAAGTAAGTAAGAAAAGAGATATCTCTACTTTCGAGGCGTGAGGCAAAATCTTAGCCTAAAGGTCTTAGATTTTATTAGATTTTATTTTTCCTAAGTTAATTACCTCATAATTACTGAAAAGATGGCATTGGTTTAGTCAGGCATCAAGACAAACTGAAACTATTTAATTTGCTTTTTTGAAAAAAAGCTGTGCCATTTTGATCATCCTTTTGCTTGTGTTCTACGGTGTTAATGAGGAGAAAGTTCCCCTGGTTTATCTTGATCAAGTTTTATATTTAGCATRTGTTGGGTTGATGTTACAAGGAACATAAATGTGTTAATGCCTTAGAGGAGCTTTAATCTGTTAAAGTAAGAGCTGCACAAAGCAACATTATTATATGCAAACATTTCAATCAATAAAAAGAATGTTCTCAGGTAGACCAAAAGGCTGTTAGGACAGTATTTATTTTGATCAGGAGAGGAAATCAGTATTTTAGGGAGCAGCTTATGAAAGAAGAAAGGAARACTCTTGGAAGAAAAGGAAGATGTCATGCTGCCATCTCTTTCAGCATTAAGACAGGATTGTGTGGGTGAAACCTGACTGCAAAAACCTCCAGGATGAAGGCTGGGGAATTGTGCCTGGTTCTCATCACCATTTCCAKGAAATTAGTTGCTTCTTTGGGCTTAGACATGTAATATGGATATTAATCTATATGGTGGGTTTTGTTCCCCCACAGAATATGGAGGTCAGTGATGCTCAGCGTAAGGCAGAGCTGGAACTCGCCCTGGAACAGCTGAGAGATTTGAAGATAAAGGCAGATGATGATAAAGAGGCCCTGAAGAAAGCAGTCCGTGCACAGAAAGAGCGGGCAGAGCGGAGTGAGGAGTATGTGCAGAAACTGAACGGCCAGTTAGCAGAAAAGGTACCTGCTGAAACAGGAGAGGCCTTGTTTCAGGTCATGCTTCTGAATTGTTGACTTTTTGTAGCAGCCCTGGGGAGAGTCTCTTCTTTCAACTAATGAAATTTATTTCTGTCTTTATGCCATGGCCCATTTATRCCAAGTTTAGGACAAACCCAATTTGCTCAGCTATCACTGTATTCACTGCATGTCTTAAGTTAAAGACATCTCTGCATATTTTGTGCATATCTCACATCGGTGATGATTTTGTCTTCTCCCTTACTCTTTTCCTCTTGAATTTCCCCTGTCTGACAGGACAGCTGTCTTGTGGATGCCCAACGCAATCTTGAGTCCTGGAGGAGTCGCTGCAACAAAGCAATAAAGGAGAAGGATAACCTGGAACTGGAAGTTGTTACACTGAACAGGTTAGAAAAAAAGCAGTGCAGAGAAAGAACCATGAGTGGGGATGAGTTCAAAGTTCAAGGATAATTTAATTGAATAACAGCATTGAAATGAGTATTTTAATTGGATTGCTTGTAAATAACCAAGCAAAACCAGCACTGCCTGAGGGCTAGAGCAGAGTTTGGAGAGATGGAGAGAGACATGATCACTTCTGCTGCTGATTTGCCACAGCAAAGGCAGACTGTTTAAGGTTTGCTGACCCTTGAAACTCCATTCCTTTGCCATTTTGTAATGCTTTGAAAGAATTCTGGTTATTTTTGTTTTGAGTTCTTTTTGAATAACTTGAGTGGAAGATACTAAAAGAGATAAGCAGTATAGTTGATGCCAGCTTTGTTGTGAAGGTAAATAAATGTGTTGGTATTACTGCACCAACAGTAATACCAACAAATACAGTAATACTGCTGCAGGAAAAAGTAGGTAGGTATGAGTTGAGAGAGGCATATATTTATCCTGTGCATCTTTGAGACAATTAATTTGAGCTCCAGGGGCACAGCTCCAGTTAATATCCAGGAGGTATTAAAAGATTGGAGTAATAGAACAGTGTAACAGGGATGTGTGAATACATGACTGGAGAACAAAGATGAAAGGATAGGGAAAARCCATGTTTCTGAAGCTAGTTTTCTAGGATTCGGAGTCTTATTCTTTCTTGTTACTTAAGGAGTAATTTCCTTTCTGTGTGGCAGCCGTGTTGCRGACTTGCTGGAAAAGGTGGCAAAGATTCAGGAGCAGACGCGGGACGAAAAAGAAGCTTTGATGGATAAACTGCATCAACAGACTGCAGAGAACAGTACTCTAAAGAAGGAAAATGAAAGACTAAAGGTAAGTGACTCKAAGGGTTTGAAGATTGAATGCTAGGAGGAAAAGAAGGGGGAATTATAACAACTTGCTCAGCCACTGAGGACAGAGTCAAATTGCACCCATTGCTCCTGTACAGTTTCAAACCAGTTCCTATAACCTGTGACAGGACCAGTGTGGTGGGAGGAAACCGAGGAAGTGTACATAGTGAGAGAACTGTGTTTCTTCCACATTTTGGCTAGGAATATCTCCAATCCAACTACTGTTTTGTCTAGGTGGGATCTTAAATCTTGTCCTTATATCTTCATGCTGCTGACTAGAGAACAAACAGCTGTAGCTCATACAGACTGAATAGTAATCTCTAGAACAAAAAAAAAGTGTGGCATATTTCACTGGTTGTCCTTTACCATGAGTGATCTTGTGGGTGACYTACATAATTTTTTCCATGCCAAACTTCTGTGCTCTGCTGATGCAAATTTGACAGTCCACTGAAGTCTGGAAAGTTTTGGCAACTTGCATGGACAAAACTTTATTTCTTAGTCTAGACAGCATTAGACAGCTCACATGGTAGGTACTTTCAAGCACTTAATGGGAAATRTTTTTTTCAGGCTGCTCTGAACTCAATGGAGGACAAGCTGACCCAAGCACAGGGAGAATTGCAACAGCTCCAGAACTCTATCAGGAACTATGAAGGGTTGATTGAAAACTACACGGCACAGGTGGGTCTCAGAACCTTTGGTCCTTGCACAAAGATGTTTTCTTTTGGCTTATTCTGTAATGCCCTAACSATTGCCAACTGGAGCAGTTTTAGTTACTCCAAGGCATTGCACAACATGTGTTGAAAACTAAATATAACAGATAAAGTCTGGGCTCTTTTTTTGAATGTCCAGGCATTGAAGGCGCGAAAGGAAGCAGATGAGCTGGCAGCAAGACTGGAGAAGTGTGAAGAAGAGAACATGACAATAAGGGATGAAATGACCAAGGAACTTGAAGCGGTAAAGACATGTTATAGACATTCATGGATCTTACTGTTCTAAATCTAGTGAAAACCAGCTGTGAATAGGAAATRAAAGGCTTACCTTGAGTCTGCCTTTTCCATCAGCTTTTTCTCAGGACTTGTTCAACAAGTTTTRGAGAATGAACATTTAGCARCTTCTWTTTGACTATATGGCATTCCTCAGAAGKGTATAAGTTATTTAGTGTCTCCTTTGCTGCAAAAATAGTGATTTAGAACAGTGGATTAGRTAGGTTACACCAGTATCTGGTGTGGAGCAGCCAACCTCAAAAGCAGAGCTTGTACTTGAAGCTCACAATRCAAAATACTCAACCATCCATAATAAATGCCAGATCCTAAGTAAAAGCTTTTTGGAGTAGGAGAAGATCTTAAGCTTTCAACTCCAGCACTGGCCAAATATCCACCCAGTGTCATCATGGTYGTGGACTAACAAAGCTTCATTGAAGTTGAGAAATTTTTTAGCCTTGACCTTGTGAACATTTGAAAGTTCCTCACATTCTCTTCTTTGATTGCAGACACGCGAGAAGTTCCAGACTCAGCTTGCTGAATTGGAAAAGTTGCCTGAGATCCTAAAGTATACCGAGACACAGCTGGCAGAATGCCATGAGCAGCTCATGTGTTAYGAGAAGAAGAACACGGACCTGTGTGCCATGATTGCAGATCTCCGTCAGCTGGTAAGGGACTGGCAGAAAGTACCCCTACCACTGAATAAATCTACCTCTGACACCAAGATGAATTACTAATCACAGCAAGGTTCAAACTTCGCCTCAGTTCTCATCTCTTTCTGAAAAGATTAAACGTGCACTGCAAAATAAAGGTGTGTGCCATGTCTTTGTGCAAGAACTTTGCGGCTTTGCTGGTAGCATTCCTTAATACTTGAAAGGTTTCTCATCCCTTGGTGCAGAATCCTTCTGGGACTTGAATAGCAGCAGTGGCAGCACTTGCTAATGCCAGCACTTGCTTCTGTTACCTCCATCATCTCGTCAGCATTTCCTCCTGTGGTTTTCTGCTGATGGTGCTGTCCCAACCATTTTTTCACTCTGATTTGAGGTTGTTGTCCCAGTCCTTATTTTTTGTTCCCAGAAAGAGCAGATATTGTAGGACAATTTTGGACAGGCATGACATCTACAGCTGTGCCTCAAGGCATAGCACATGATCTCTGTCTGACCACTTTAGTCTGCTTGGTTTAAAATGGTAAACCTCCCTGGTGTTTCAGGCTCTGATGCTGTTGTGGGCTGCTAGCATGTTTGTGGCTGCTGTTCACACATGTGTGCTTGGCTRTGCTTGCAGGTGCTGCTCTACATGCAGGAATTTGTAGGCCTAGTTTTTCTTTTGCACAAAAGTYTTCCCACACCTTTCCAGACTGTAACTAGAAGCATCAATAAAATGGATGTTTAGTTCTTTTCTATCCACTGATCCCTTTCTGAAGCTCTTCAGAAATTATGAATGGAGCATGTTTCCTTCTGAGAGCAATATGTTTTAGGTAATTGGTCATGTGTGTGTAGTGACTACTCTATGAAGTAATTAATTCCTGTAATTTTTAGATTGACCTTCAGGGGGACAAAATGGAGATGACAAGAGAGAGATATCACAGTGCCCAGGAGGAGAAAAAGCAACTCACCTTGAAGGTGGAGGAGCTAGAAAGGTTAGAAATACTAGGCTCTCTTGCCTTTTTAACSTTCCATTTCCATTGTTTTTACAGGGGATTGAAACAGCTTCAGTCTTGTTCCAGTTCCCCACATGCCTCCAGGATTCTGTGCATTTGCTTATCCCACAAGGATCTCTAATCAGTAGCTGGCCACTGGGAGTTATATGCGTTTGCAGCAGCACCTGTTGTGAATRTTGTTAGACAGGATGATGGCTTAGACAGCAGAGAAACCAGCTCCATGTCCAATCTAGCCTGGCAATTTTGAGCTTACTAGATATCCTGGTATTTTTACCCATGTTTGTAAATTTCTTTTAGTAACAGTTTCTCAGAAAATGCAGGTATATGGGTACTCGGTAGATCCTTCAATCTTTGAAATTTGGATTTGAGGACTGGAGAACTGTTTTTTGGGGCTCTCACCTTTCAAGGGGGATTAGAATATTACCAGAGGAGTCAGGACCTGACAAAAAGGCAGAATGAAACACAATCCATTTAAAATGAATAGGTTTCCTTCCCTTATTGTCTTAAACTAGAAAACTAGAGTCCACGAGTGCCCAGAACATAGAATTCCTTCAGGTCATAGCAAAACGTGAGGAATCGATCCACCAGTGTCAGCGGCGGTTGGAGGAGAAGAGCGTTGAGTGTAGCTCCCTGGCACGTCAGCTGGAGATGGCCATTGAGGATGCCAAAAGACAAGTGAGTAATTTCTCAAGTTTGTGAATTCACCCAAAGCTACCCCAGCTGTGCAAGGGGAATAGTGAGAATGCTGAAAATATCTCCTCAGCTTATGACCAAACCCATTAAAATCATCATGTTCAGTGAAATGCAAGTAATGTGCTGGTGCTGTTAGCACTGTTGAAAATCTGAACTCAGTTTGCAACAGAAGAGAAAAGCACAAGACTGAGCTGCTGCTTATGTATAAAAATGTGTCAGTTAAACTTTAAAGGGCTTTTGTSGGCAATGGGTAGGGAAAAAACATTCTTCTGTAAATATCCCTTTAACAAAGTTGTTGTTCTGTGTAGGTGGAAAATGCTCGAGAACGAGCAGTCTCCAGAGAGAGGGCAGCCCAGTGCAGGATGTTAGATTTGGAGTCCCAGCTGAGCAGGAATAGAACAGAGCTGAACCAGCTGCGTCGAACCAGAGAGGATGTGAGTGACTTGGGGGATACTCCTCCTGTGCTGGTGGTGCCCGGGTAACTATTGGAGTCCATAAACCATCCTGTGGATCTGCTGCTGAAGTCACGCAGAGCTGTGCCTGAACGTGACGTGCTCTGTGTGTCCATGTATGTGTGATATTGGACATGTTTGCTGTGTCACTGATTCAGGGGTCTGCAGTGAAAGGCAAATGAGAGTACTGTCATCTCAATGAACTTGTAAAATTACAAGAAAAGAATCAGCCCTTCCTTGTTTTCAAAGGAGATTTGSACTAGGTACCATGGACAGATTTCAACTTCATTTTGGTTATATCAGGGAAGTACAATTTCTCTTCAAGAGGAAAGGTTTTCTTCTAGAAGAAAGAGTGGGAAKCTTTTATGATGGCCTATTTATCTTGGTTCCTTGCTTTAGTTTTATTTGGAATTGTGTTGGTTGATGGGTCAGGTCAAGTTGCTTTTCAGAAAACAGTGTGTTTAATCCTCATAACTACAGCTAATGAGTTTTAAAAGCCTGACTGATTAGCCTCGTTGTCTCCTGCTTTTATCAGCGGGTTGCTGAATGGAGTTGGGAATGAGCAGAACAAATTATAAATATCACAGCACCATCTATGGTAATGTCATCTCCCGCCGTGCTAATTCTGGCTCTCCTCAGCACTTTGGGGGAAGAGTTTAACGTGAACAGGATGAATGTTGCTGCCTTTCAGCCTGTTTTGTGCTCCCCTGTGCAGGCAGAGCGCCGATACGAAAGCCGCCTCCAGGACCTGCGGGATCGGCTGGAGCAGTCAGAGAGCACCAACCGCAGCATGCAGAACTACGTCCACTTCCTCAAGGCCTGCTACGACAATGTTTTTAGGGAAAGTGTTTTCCTGGGCTCTCCCAGCCCCTCTCACTCTCTTATCTGAGGGTAATGCTCTCCTCACACGTTTTTTAAGCACACAGAAGGAGCTTTGTTTCAAAGCCATATTTACGTAGAAAACCAGATGGCATTTCAGGGCCATTGTTCASCGACTTTTTTCTTGCAGAATGAGAAAATAAAATTACGTTGGCATCTGACCAAAATGTGGGGTATCAGCAATACTGGTTTGGTGTTGGAGGTTGGTGTTACACCATAAACTGAGCCCCAAAATCAGGTGGGTTTGCATATGATGGAACATATCCTTTTCATCCTGTAAGTCCTGATGGTTTCAGCTCTTAAAACCTGTCAGAGGTTTGTTGAGTGGGTTAATTTTTATAAGAGCTCTCTTCGTGCTTCACTTCTCATTCGGTTTCTCTGGTGGGGAGATCATGTGGGGGTTTTTTGCTTGGGGGATTTTTTAAATAACTTTTTTATACCATTGGTGTGAAGCTGAAAATAACTGAGGTGCCAGGGTTCTACACTCAGAAGAGAGATTATCTCCTGCAGAACCACCGTGTTTGTAATGATTTTATATCAGAAATTATGAGTTTGGTTTGGTTTTTTATACTTGATTCTTGCATACTCCCTGATCCATACCTTATTTGTGACTGTGATGGTAATGTTGCTTTACTCTTCTTACCCTGAGTTTCTGATCGTGAACATACTCAGGACTGAGYCAAAACAATCTAAATTTGAAGGAAATATTGTGGTTTAACCTCAGTGTCACTTCAGTTGGGATCTTGGTGCAAATGCCATGTAAATTCAGGATGTGCGGTATCCTGATTGGTCTTAAACCAATTAAGCAGCAGCTGCAGATAGTCAACATCCTCATCAAATTCACCTGGACCTTCTCCTGGAAAATCAGGTCTTTTGTGTGTCAAGTCTCTAAAATATATGTGCTTTCTGGTGTCCTGTTATTTCTACTAAATGGTTCTGAGGAGGGCAAAAATAAACATTGTTTTTTGGTCTTTTGGATTGTATTTATATGCAATGTAATGTGGTCACTGGCAGTACTTGTCATAAAAGTTTTCAAAATCAGTTTTTGAAAGATCTGTAATTGCATGTGTTTAACACTTTAAAAATCCCAGACATATTGGGGGAAACCAGTAAACTACATTTTAATTTATTATGGTGGGGATTCCCTCTTCAGGTCCTATGTCTGCATTTGGAAAATCAAACACATCTTAGTTGGTGCAGGCAACTGAATTCCAGACTGTTTCTGTGGTTCACAACTGGATCCCTCTGTTMCTGCGACTGGGGCTCAGCAGCRCAATGTGGCTCCAGCSYTGCCTCGGCGAGAATACACRAAATAAATGGGAAATCGGTGAATGTGCGGCTGTTCCTGCAGGGGCGGGACTCGAACCTGCGGCGCGGGGCGCGGGCAGAGCCCCGCCTGTCCGCCAGGGGGCGGGCACCATTCCGGCGGACGCGGCCATTGCCGCCCGGAAAGGGCGGGGCGGGGACGGGCCCGGCGTGAGGGACCCCCGGCACCGGGGCACGGTCACCATGGAGTCGTGGCACCTCCGCTTCGAGACTCTGGAGGCCCTGCGYCTCTCCAGCAAGGGCCGGCTGAGCTACTGCAGCCGCTGGCAGGAGGATGAGGTGAGGGGTCGGCCCTGCCCGCTGGCAACACCGCCCGCTCCGGGCTTGAAATATCTCCACACGGGGTCCCGGCCCGGGGTTGTGGGCTCAGGGAGCGGGGCTGAACCGCGGGGGTTCAAWTGTCGTGGAAAAGTAAGGGAAGAGCGGGAAAAGTGTTGGAAAGATATTAAAACAAGTGGTTGCATGGGGTAGCGAGCTGCGGTGATAAAGTACCTACTGACTGCAAATGTGCTCGTGGTGTGTTAAAAGTTTTATTGCTGTTTTGGATGTTAATGCTGCGTCGCGTTCACGGAGAATGTTTTCTCTCAAGGCTGCTTTGGAAGGATGTGTGGCTCCCGTTGAGCTCTCCCCTTACTGCGGCTGGGTGCTRGATAGCCTTAGTGGGAAATTAGACCAAGAAATCACACCTACCGGGACTTCAACGCCCAAACAATCCACACCTCTCGCAAAAARGGCATCTGCGGAAAAGGTCCCACCTGGCAGCCGCCGGAGCTCTTCACCACCTTCATCTACAGAGCCCAGTGAGACCAAGGTAGCTCTCTGATTATAATCCATGTGTTTATGGAGCAGCTGTGAGAAAAAAGCCCTGTCCTAATTTGCTGCCATAAATTGTCTAATTAAAGCTGTTTTGTGCTCAGTTAATTTATGGGGGAAATGTGCTTAGTTTTAACTTCTTGTGGCAAGGGGTGATAAAATTGGTATTAACAGGATTTTTTTAGAAAAATGCTTCATAGTAGGTAAAAGCAAACTCCCTTTTCCACCATAACTAAGAAAAATAGTTGGAGTTGTATAGTGTTAATGATTAGAAGCACAGGTTCATCCATTTGGGGGGATAAGGTCACAGAGAGGGTCAGGGATGTTTTAAGAGCCCATGAGTAACTGCCTTGGATTCTCAAGAGTCTTTGTGTGACTTACATGTGTTCTGGCTCTATTTTACAATGCAGAAGAGCAGGAAGCTGGGCAATGAGCAGTTGAGTTGTGGAGGTAATTCATTTGATGGAGCACCTGGAAAGAGAAATGTCTGTTGTTGTGTTCAGTGATATCTTCACCACATGACAGGGATGCTGAGCAGCAAAGTTTTGTATCATCTTGGCTCCAGTGAGACTTAARAAATATATTGTGAGGAAAAGTTATTAATGAAGCAGCAAGATGTGATMATCTTCATAAGAGAGTCTCAAGACTCCTCCTGAAGAATGATTCAAAGTACAAACCTGTYTTGACTTCTTCCACTGTAACATCTTTGTTGACAGTTCAGAGGATATGAGGGGCTGTCTGCRCTGTCCAGGTGTCAGTTGGCCTTTGTGAATGTCCTGGAGACTCGTGATATCTTTGGTTCCAGTTTTAGTGATTGGAAAAGTAATTATCCCAACCTCATAAACATGCTGGAGGGTCCTCAAAATGATGAGGCTGCACTACTGGGGTATATAACTGCTCTAGGAATGTATGTTGGTTGACTCCTTGGTCTGTTTCTTCACAAATAATAGTTTAGGAGACTTGTTTTATCTGTTTTCCTCTGTGAGTTGCTGATCCTGTGCTCAGTCACCGATTTTGCTTTTATGCTGACCATGCAGGAAAATGATCATCTTAGTCCCCTGGAAATAAATCAAGAAGCAGTTCTGTCATCTAAAGTTGCAAAAGTCGAAGGCTGCATTCGCATGTATGAAGAGATGCACAGGCTGAAAGCAAAGGTAAGAAAAAAAWTTGAGGGGGTGTTTGGGAATCACARGAGAGCTCCACAGCCAGATGTAAYAGTGCAAAGGRCAGCAAGTTGTCCTAAAYGTTGGGCAGTTTAGTTTGTGTTTTCTTCTGTCCAAATTGTTCAATGACACCTTGGGTTCCCCTGGCCCCTCTGTAATGCAGGAGAGGCTGAGACAGCGGCAGGAGGAGCAGGAGCAGATGGTGAGGGCAGCCTATGCCCAGGCCAGTGAGCAGCTGAAGCGCTTTGATGAACTCAGGGAGCTAAAGCGGCACCAGGAATTCCAAGAGTTGCAAGAAGTAATGGAGAAGAGGTGAGATTAGCTCCAGTATCCTTAAAATTTTGTGGCATTTAATCAAAATGGGGACTAGTTCCTATGTCTGGCAATTCTGTGCTAATCACTTGTGGTTGGAAATCTCACCTGCTGGGTTTTTTTGTGTTAACTATCCTGTTAAAGTTTGTTTGTCAGAGTAGATCTCTGCCTACTGTTGAGGTTTCATTGGTTTAAAAAAGACAATATTTGTGATAGTTAATGTTCCATTAGCTTATTTCAATATTAACTTGTGTGTTTGTTTGTGTTTTGTCTTCTGAATGTCTTGAATACAGTTTTTTGTCTTTATGTGTATTRTAGCTCAAAGGAGGCTCAGGGGCAGCAAGAGAAGTTGAAGGAAGAACACCGACATAGAGCAAAGGTCTGAGACTCTTCAGAATTGTCTTTCATGAAAGACCATTACTATTGGGTGGGAACTGGAAAGACCAATTAATTTATTTGTATTTCCATGATGCCCTGGAGTGAGGATGGATTTTTTGGTGCTATCCTGGCCATCTGCTGCAGTGTGGAAATGAATGCACTTGTGTCATAGGAACAGGAAGGCCCTGTAAAGCCAGAATCATCAGACCAGGAAGGAGCTGTAAAACTGGAATTTTTGAGGTATCTTATGACTCTTGTGTCTTTGTCTCCCCAGATATTGAACCTAAAATTGCGTGAGGCAGAGCAGCARAGGCAACGCCAGGAAGAGCTGGAACGTTTGCGCAAGGAAGAGGGCCAGGAGAGACTGCGTCGCCTTTATTCCATCCAGGAGGAACTGCTGCAGCTGAACCAGCAGATTGATCCCAACTAYAGGCACAAAGACTTGCCCAGAATCGATCTGTCTGCATACAGCAACCGTGGCAATCAGATCTGTGGACTGGTGTCRGGGCTTATCCGCACCACAAGTGAGGTACAGGCTCTGGAGCTGTTCTTAACTTTGGCTGTCATTCCTTTTTAAAGCTCCCTGTAGTTGTCTTCAAAGGCAGCTTGTCATGAGGCCTTTAAATAAGATGTCATAGCAATGTTTTTAGATATTCATTCTATAAAGCACCTAATTTCAAGGGGAATTCTCTCTTCTGGCAGTTCAGCTGTTCTCTTGAAAATGGCTTATAAAAATGCATGAGAACTTTTACAGSAGAAAGATTCAAATTGAATTGCTCAAACTCTTGATGCTGTAAAGTTCCTTTCTGAGACAATGGACTGGCTCATGAATTGTTAAATACTGAACTTCTTATGATTCTCCTGTGCTCATAAGCCTTTTTGCAGTAGCTGGGTTTCCTTGACATTTTATTTCTCTAGGGTGGGATAAAAATCTTGGGAAATAAAACACTAATAAGGCTAATCCTGCGCTCCTGCTTGTCACAGTTGGCTTTCTGCAGAGGGAGCTGTAAAAGGCTTTGCACTGGAGTTCTCTTGCGCTTGCCCAAACGCATTCTTAATTTTTGTTGTCATAGATCTTACAAGATTTAGTCATGGATTTACATTATTTGCAAATACTATGACCAATGTTATGCACAAATAAAGGAGATGGGAATAAAATACGTAGTTAGCTCCCAGATAATCTGAAGGCTAATGCTTCAGAGGCTCCTTGCTCTTGGAATTGGCCCTCTGACACTGGAACAGAAGGTTAATGCTGMGTTACCTCCCCTGTTTCTTGACAGAGAGGGTTCCCTACTCAGGCCGATGTGGCTACCACTGAACGAGCCCTGCAGGAGATGCGAGGGTTGATATCCACCATGCAGCAGGAAATTGCTGCAGCTCTGGAAGAAAAAAGGAGGAAAGATGAAGAGGAGGAGAAACAAAGGCAGAAAGAGTTAGAGAAAAAAGAGCAGATGAAGAGTCAGACTCCTGCGCCTGCACAGCAGTCAGGGGGAAAACAACAGAAGGAAGGTTGGTTAGGCTTTTTAATTTTTTTTTTTTTTTTAATTTCTTTGTCTTGCAGTTTTAAAATTAGTTTTCTCACTAGAGGTTTAGGTCTTTCTTAGTCATCATCTTTTTTTTTTGGTTTTGAATAACAGGACTTCAAGTTAAAACAGAAGAAAGTATCATGCAATGGTACCAGCAGCTTCAAAATGCTGCTGAGCAGTCTGTTGCTGCTTTCAGTGAAATTGCAAACTGCAAAGGCAACACTGAGGTATGAACAAATTATTAATACTATTGAAGAGATATCATCCTTACTTCTAGGGTAAATAGGACAGCTTTCATTTTAAAAAAGTCAGAAATTCTGTTGTAGCAGCCCCTGTTACCAATCTACTCATCCAAACTATCATAGGCATATACTTGTTTGGAAAGGATTTTAAAGTTATATATTTGTTTGTTCTCCAGGTGAAGAGGATAAAAACAAACTTGCAGAAAGCAGCTACAATCCCTGTGAGCCAGATCTCTAGCATATCAG